TGTTTGTTTCTCTTTTAGAACGCGGATAAAATATTGGAGAAGAGTACCCTGTTATGCAATGGTAAAGGAAGTAATGCAGATAAGGTTCAAGATAGTGAGACATCCCTATTGGTCTCCAACAAAGCTGATAAAAACTATATTGAAGACACTGAGACAACCCCAAAGTCCTGTCTTGATGTAGTGTTCGAGTTACTGGCCACTACTGGTGGAACCAGCTCTTTGAACTTGTTGCTTGAATCATCTTGGCTTCTTGAGTCTCAACTTCAAATTGAAAGACATCGATCAGATGTTCTACGACGGGAAGCCGAAGGATTGAGGAAGTCCCTGCAGAATTCAGATGCATACTTTCTGGTGCAACAACAAGCGTTGGAGGATTTAAGCGCCAAACATAGAAAGTTAATAAGCTTGCTAAGCATCTTGCCAACATTATGGGTACCGAGGATATTGTTTCTTGAGCTCTTCTGAAGTGGTTTCAGTTCTGGACTTGTTTTGCTGCGGAGTTTATTTGCACAGGTCACCAACTTTGACAACCAGTGTATGTGATATGCTGCTTTGTTCCCTATATTTGCACTGGTGGCGAACTTTGATGCCCAGTGGATGTAATATGGGTAATAGTCGTGATAGCCTAGCGTAAGTTGCTTGCTTATTTATTTGCTTGTTGTCTTTTTTATTTGTTTGCTTGTAGTCAGTGCAGTTCTTTTTCCGCGGTTTGCTAGTGGCCTCAATAACCTATTTTTTAAAACTAGGCCACAATAACCATGGGCTGCATATTTACTATAGTGACCATGGGCCTCCTATGAACCATAGAAACAATGGGCGTTCTACGGGGCGTAGCATCAATGGGCCTTCTACGGGCCGTTTGATCAATTGGCCAAACATGGGTCAATAACGGACCACATTATGGGCCGTAAACGGGCTAGAGTTGGAATCATCCGTTCATGGGCCAACCATAACAGACCGTCGTTAATTGGCCGTATTTGATGACGCTATGAAAATAGCCCAACGAATTAACGGCCACAAACGGGCCGACAGTAACCACGGGCTGAATTTGGCCCACAAGCAGAAAAGGCCAGTAACGGGCCATAAGTAACCGAATGCTGGAAATGAGCCCAAGAATAAATGGGCCCCGAGAAGGCCAAAAGATAACACGGGCTGGAAATGGCCCAATGGAATAATGGGTCGTTAATAGGTATAAAGTGATACACTGTTCATTACGGGCCAATTTCACCACGGGTCGTTAATGGGCCAAGAGTTACAAAGGGCCTCATATGGGCCGAAAGACGTCATGGGCCATACATGGGCAGGAAGTCACAACAGGCTGGAATAATATTGGACGGCCCATATGACGCTACTGGGCCTAATTCGGATAGGCCGTAACGGGTCGTGAGTTAGCGGGTTGTAAATGGGCTATATGCGAACAGGCCGTTAACAGACTTTCTGTGGGCATGCCTGCTACCTTTTGACCAAGTCGAATAGGTCGGCCTTTTCACCGAAATGGGCCTCTGTTGGGTCATGCCACGTGTCGATGTATCATAGGCGCCTTCGGTCCAATGAGTGGATGACATCTGTCACAATGGTGAGCCAACATTTGGTTCCTCTGGCCATTGAGAATTTTACACGTGGAAAATCCTCATTAGTCTGGGCTGTTAACGGGTTATCGGATCCAAAATAGAACCCGATAGCTTAACGGTGACCCGTTACGGTGGATGCCACATGTCAGTTAGCCTTGACGAAAGAAATTCTATGACGCATGATTTATCATCATGGAAGTGAACACTTTCGTGATGATAATTTTGGTAATTTCATGGAACACTTCTACGACAACACATGTATTACTATCTTGATTCTGTCATAAAATTGTTATGGATTTACATGCATGACAGAAAACGTGACCTACTATGACAAACATGTATCATCACGGAAGTGCATTTTTTTGTAGTGGCCACTGTTGGGGAACATTGCATGAAAACAAAAAAATTCCTACACCCACACAAGATCTATCAAGGAGATGCATAGCAACGAGAGGGGAGAGTGTGTCTATGTACCCTCGTAGACCGTAAGTGGAAGCGTTTCACAACACGGTTGATGTAGTCGAACTTTCTTCCGATCCAACCGATCGAGTACCGAACGTACGGCACCTCCGCGTTCAGCACACATTCAACTCGGTGACGTCCCTCGCCTTCTTGATCTAGCAAGATGTTGAGGTAGTAGCTGAGTTCTGTCAGCACGATGGCGCAGTGACGGTGATGGTGAAGTGGTCTCCGCAGGGCTTCGCCTAAGCACTACGAAAATATGATCGGGGGTGTAAACAGCGGAGAGGGACGTCACACACGGCTAACAATTGATCTCTTATGTGCTAGGCGCCCCCCCCCCATATATATATATATATATATATATATATATATATATATATATATATATATATATATATATATATATATGTGGGAGGGAGGGAGGAGCAGCCAAAGGAGGCGCCCAAGTAGGAGGAATCCTACTTGGAGTCCCTCCCAAGCTGCGCCCCCTACCTTATATAGGTGCGGGGGAAAGGCAGGGGAAGGTGCCCCCCCCCTTTCCTTTCTTCCATGAGAGGGAAAGGCGGGAGGGGCTAGACCTCCCCCCTTTCCTTCCTTTAGGGCCTGCTGTCCAAAGAAGGGGCACACCAGGGGCTGGTATGTTCCCCCTTTGGCCCATTAGGCCCGTATCTTTGCCCGGGGCGCACGAAACTCCTTTTCGGTGACTCGATAAGTACCCGGTACCCTCCGAAACACTTCTGGTGTCCGAATACCATCATCCTATATATCAATCTTTTACTCTTTACCATTTCGAGACTCCTCGTTATGTCCGTGATCTCATCTGGAACTCCGAACAACATTCGGTCATCAAATCACATAACTCATATAATATTATATCGTCATCGAACGTTAAGCATGCGGACCCTACGGGTTCGAGAACTATGTAGACATGACCGAGACACCTCTCTGGTCAATAACCAATAGCGGAACCTAGATGCACATATTGGCTCCTACATATTCTACTAAGATCTTTATTGGTCGAACCGTTATGACAACATATGTAATTCCCTTTGTCCATCGGCATGTTACTTGCCCGAGATTCGATCATCGGTATCTCTAAACCTAGTTCAATCTCGTTACCGGCAAGTCTCTTTACTCGTTGTGTATGCATCACCTCGTAACTAACTCCTTAGTCATTTGGTTGCAAGCTTATGATGTGTATTACCGAGAGGGCCCAGATATACCTCTCCAATACTCGGAGTGACAAATCCTAATCTCGGTCTATGCCAACTCAACAAACACCTTCGGAGATACCTGTAGAGCATCTTTATGATCACCCAATTACATTGTGACGTTTGATAGCACACAAGGTATTACTCCGGTATCAGGGAGTTGCATAATCTCATAGCTGAAGGAATATGTATTTGACATGAAGAATGCAATAGCAATAAAACTGAACGATCATAATGCTAAGCTAACGGGTGGGTCTTGTCCATCACACCATTCTCCTAATGATGTGATCCCGTTATCAAATGACAACACATGTCCATGGTTAGGAACCCTTAACCATCTTTGATCAACGAGCTAGTCTAGTAGAGGCTTACTAGGGACACGGTATTTGTTTATGTATTCACACATGTATTTAAGTTTCTGATCAATACAATTCTATCATGAATAAGGAAATAAACAAACTTTATTATTGCCTCTAGGGCATATTTCCTTCATTGACATGTCTAAAATTTGCATTTTCTAGGGTTTGTTTGCTATATTTAAGTCATTAACTGCATTCTAGGCATTTCCAAGGGCCCGTTGGCATGCAAAGCGGCCGCTGCTTACTCGGTTGGGCTTGAAATTTTTTCCACACTCAACATAAACCACTACATTTCAAATATCAAAACGAAAAAAAACATTAGGCTCATTATCTATATTTAAACCCTTGCATTTACCTTCATTAAGTACTACAAATCATTTAATGCCTTAAAAATAGCAAATTAACCATAAAAATCCTAGCGCACACATGGCCAGAGAAGCAAATCCTGGTCTTAAACTATTGATACCGTGATACATGTTTCCGGTATATACCCGTAAGTTACTTCTATTGTCACCCAATTACGGAGTGACGTTCATATTGAAGATCTATGCAACATCATTTTTCTGATGACAATGTGTTTTCTTTATTGATAGCATCCTTGTTACTTTAACAATCCTCATGGTCAGTAAAACAAGATCATCATCAATACATGAGCTAGTCCTAGAGGCATGACCGGGTCCAGGCATGTAATTGAGTTTTCCTCTGAATCTCATATTGAAGAAACAGTATAATTATAACATAGAGATACAAATTTAATTATGACCATGGAAATTTAATAATACATTTACTATTGCCCCTAGGGCATATTTTCAACGCTTCCGTCATATAGCTTGCCATTTATGTGTTCGATAAAATGTCCAAGCACAAAAAATTGTAGCCAAAACGATGGATTCGCCAGGTTCGTCAGGTGAGGAGTATCAAAACAAGAAGATTGGTGAATTCATTCAAAAGGAGTTCATCGATTTATCGGATTCGAACGACGAAGATGCTGAGTTGATGATGATGATAAACATCCAGGAGGAAATGGAGAGGGAAGTGGAGAACATTCTGAACATCAAGGGTTGATCTAATGGAGGAGTTCTAATCCGAGATAGACTCGCTGGCACACGACTGCTCTAAAGCCTACACTATCAACGGACACAACTACAACAATGAGTACTACCTTGCTGATGATAACTATCCTCAGTGAGCGGCGTTTGTGAAGACCATATTGGGTCCTCTTGGCAGCAAACCATGCCACTTTGCAATGGTTTTATAGTTACGTATCTACAAAATATGAACTTCGGAGTCGCACAAATCTAATTTTCTTCATGAATTAAGGCAATAATAAACATGTTACTATTGCCAAGATTTTAGGTTGAGGGGCTAGCTGAACTTCAAGGTAAAAGAAAATACTCTTACGACAGAGGCACCTGGCGCAAGTTAAGCAGAGCAACTGGACCTTTCAGTTGCACTATTAGTTGAGTTTCTGCGCTGTTTCCTTCGGTGCCAAATTGTCCAACACATAGATTCCCACTGCCACTGGTTTCCACAGCAATCACCATCTGTCGACCCAAACAAGACCAGAGTTCCCAACCAAAAGAACAAGACACAGCACGTACTAGTACTGCAGCATTGATGGAAAGATGGCACAAACAGAGGCAGGCAGGCAGGCAGCTAAAGTCGCGACAGAAAGAAATGACAGAGATTGTACTCGTAAATCTCGTGACCTTACAGTGCAGCAAGGCACAAGAGTCTAACAACAACAGCACCAACATGTACCGTGCAGATGTGATATGTCCCTTGCCCACAACCACAAGGCCGTACGTGACCTGTCGCAACGGCGAACATGAAGAAGCCGATCGAAACATGGAAGAAACTAAGAACAAAACTACTTGACAAGTACAGCACATCACTGGTATATGTTTATATCCTACTGTATAGGTACATGGAGGACCTGATCAGCCAAGCCTCTTCCATTGCACACCTTCTGAAATCAAGTCCAGGCAGATCAACCGTGCCTGGTGATCATTCGGAAGATGCTCCTGGAGCTGCGTCAAACAAATTAAGAGGAGACGTTAGTAACTTGGTACTTATAGGATGTGTTTGTGCGTGTTCATCTTCATTTGTCAGACGCTGATTGTAGCTGTAGGACATGATCTTAGACTATTGGCTCCTTACCTAGGTTGACGGCCTCGGAGCTCTTCATGAGTCGGATCCGCTTGCAGGACTCGACGAACATCCTGCATTGACATGATTTGAATCAGATTAGCACATTTGGTCGGGGAAACCTTAAATCTGCAAGAACTATGGCAAGAAGTTTGATTTGCTTACTTCCAGGGGACATCTCCAACGAGCATCCAGTCGCCGTCCCTGTCCTCGTAGGTGGGCACGTACTCGGTGCCGGTGGCCGCGTCCACGAGCCTGCTCCCGAGCTCGCCTTCGCCACGGACGGCGAGGCACGGGGCAAACATGCCGTGGAGCGCGCGGAGCAGGGCCTCGTATCCGTCGTGCGCGGCGAGGTCCACCTTGCGCAGGTAGGGGGCGCCATCCACGGCCACCTTCACGAGCTTGCACGCGCCCTCCTCGCGCAGCGCGTTGCGCCGGTAAGCCCGCACCGGAGGCCACCCCACAGCGCGCGCTCTGTCAGTCGATCATCGCACGGACCAGGTCAGAAACCATCCACAAAACACAAGACTATGTATATACATGACCAGCTCGTCGTGCGACGTGCGAGAGACGGGGAAGGTAGGAGAAGGCTGCGTACTTTGGGGAGGGAGGCTTGTCGTGCTCGTCGTGGTGGGCGCGCTTGCGGTCGTCGGCGGAGGAGCCGGGGAGGGCGAGGGTGAGGGCGGTGTCGTCGTAGTCGAGGCCGGACACGGCCGGGGACTCGGCGGAGTTGGTCGAGCTCGTCGACATCGGCGTGTGCGCGTTGTTTGAGCTCCCAAGCTGCTTCGGCGGGGCTCCGGCGATCGTTGGTTGATGCGCGGTCGCTAGCTAGCTGTCATCGGCTGGTTGTGCGGTGCGTCGTCGGTCGCTGGTGTGGTGTGCCGTGGGAGAGGAGGCTATGAGGAGGAGGATGGGTGGGATGTGGCCGCGCGGATGCTGCCTATAAAGGTACGCCACTTGCCCACCTGCTGCCGACTTGCCTGTTTCTTCACTCTTTGTTTTCCATAGTTTTTTTCTTTTGGCATATATGTTTAGACACAATTATTATTCGGCTAGATGCTCATAATTTTCTTTGTGTAGTATAATGCATGTCCTGGTGGGTGCAGGTTTCTCGCATTGCAGCAGGGTGCATTTCCACCTGTAGTGGTTGATGTTGTCGTCTCTTTTATTGGCTTGAATTTGAGCAACATTTTTGTTGTGTTTTCACAGGAAGAAAATACCTCATTCGAGTAGTACCATGAAGGGAATCCAGTGAATAAAAGAGACGGTTGTTCAACTAGCAAACGAGTCCGGGAGCGCCGTCTCCTAGCATAGATAAACATTTGCCATCATTTCGGGAAGTTCACAAATCATCCACACATGTTAATGATTGATCAGGTAAGATTTAAAGTTCCATACAAAGTTTTGTATTCTTGTGGCTTATGCAGAGAAAACAAACTCAATGAACATGCATTTTTAGCTTTGGATTCTCGTTTACTAGTTCTTTGCACATTTTTTTTTCAAACCATGCAAGTGAACTGCATGTGATCATAGTAGAAGAAGAGAAGAGCAAAGTACAAATCCGCAGATTTTTTTTTGCGGAACTTTTCAGATGCATAGTTCATGCTAATATCTAAATCCAAGATTTCTTTCATACTCCCTCTGGTCCTTTTTACTTCGTATATAAGATTTGTCTGAAGTCAAACTTCGTAAAGTTTGACCGAATTTATAGAAAAAACTATAAACCTTCACAATACGAAATCAATATCATTAGAGGCGTCATAAATCTATTTTTTTTTTATTTTTTTAAACATTAGTATTGTAGGTGTTGATATTTTTTTCATATAAAATGATCTAACCTTTATGAAGTTTGACCTCAGACAATTCTTACATGCAGAGTAGAAAGGACCGAACGGATTATCTATTTACATTTTTGGAATTTTTTTTTCTGAAAATAAGAAGAGCATATGTGCTCGGGTATAATTAATTTTGCTCGAATTCGACAATAAATGACTAATCTGTCTAACGTTAATGATGACGGAGCTGATATGTTCGACAAGCTACTTCCCAAAATGTCAATAATGCGCCTTTCTGATGGAACCTTCCCGTAAAATCAAACCCTACTCCATAGGCCTCTTATTTTGTTCTTTGCGCAAGCCATCTTGGAAGTTTCCAATCCAACTAGCTACTGGTTTTTAGTAAGCGCTAGCCAGGCAGAGTAGTGGAAACCCTAGACAGTGGGCACGAGGAAATGCCCTTCTCCATGCACGAATCACTCCAAACCCCAAGGGAAAAATCCAACGTGAATAGAATAGCCAGGCCACCCACACCACACCGGCGTGAGAGACGAGGTCGATCGAGGGGAGGGGTTTAGGGGATCATGCACGATTTGACCGCCACTAAACTAAGCCAAAGCGCGGCGTTCTTGGCCGAAAGCGTAGCTAAGCATCATTTGGAGGGGAGGGCCCGTGTTCCCCTGCCCACCGTTGTGTGGTACTTTGGCGGATTAGGCAGATACTTTGTCGATATGCCTGTCGGCCGAGAGGGCGCCGACGCTGACGGCCACGCGTTCCGCGTATAAGATTAGGATTAAGAACGTGCATTATGGTTTTCCTATATGACAGTCGAATCTCTTTTGTGAACCGGGCTGAAAAGCATATTATGCTCAGTCAATTAGAAAGAAAACTGGGCGAAAACCATGGCTAAGTAGACATACATCCCTTCGATGTGGGCCTTGTATGTCATACACAAAACAGTAAAAAAGTTGGCTTTATCATACACCATTTTCCTTGTGTAGTTTGCTACTAACTTTATTTTGTCATAATTGCAAATAAATGTTTCCCAATATACATACTCCTACATAAACTACTCAAAAGGAATGTAAGGTATCATATTTTACTTTTCTTACCATGCAAAAAAAAATACATTTTACTTTTCTTCACATCACCCCTTCATCCAACCTTCCCTACATGACAATCAAACATCTTAATTTACTTACTGTCGTGGTACTAAGTCTGACAGTAAGAGTAGGGGGTACGTATGAGGAGGCAAGGCCCTAGCTACGGCGAGGTTGTACACACGAGTTTACGAGTTCAAGCCCCTCTCGGAGGAGGTAAAAGCCCTACGTCTCGGTGCCCTGAGGCGGTCGACTGGAATATGGGCGTGTGTTATAAGGGGTGCGAACCCTTGTCCTAGAGGAGGGGGTGGCTTATATAGAGTGCGTCAGGACCCCATCCGTCCTCCGTTACAGGGGTTCAATGTACATTAAGATAGGGCGTTACTGGTAACGCCAGCTATAAAGTGTTATTAATGATCTTTAAGACTACGGAGTGAACGCCTGACCGTTGCCATCCTTAGTGACTCTAGGTCTTCTGTACTCCCAATGGTTTCCTGTATGGTCGAATGACTTCATCCAGGTCGAGTGAAATTGGGGGTATCCGAGTGAGGTGACTGGTCGAGTGGATTGCACTCCATGGTTACTTCAGTCAGTATTCCTTGCTATACTTTGAATGTCCTTCCTTCTAGGGTAGTGACCTTGGGTAGGGCGTATAGGTCAGGCCTATGACCCTACCCTAGGTTCATGGCATCGTCATTATCCCCCGAATGGATTGAGGTCCGAGTGAAAAGAGAGTTGCAGTTGACTCTACGTTGACTTTTGTGCTTCATAAGCATTCTTACTGAGCTCGAGGTTCATGATTAAACTTCGACTTCATTTCTGTCGCCTTGATCGATTCAGAGGTCGTCGAATGAACTTATGCTGGCAATCTTCGAGTGTTGATATGGTGCAAAATCTTCGGCGCGATTGGTTACTGCGGTTCCCGGATCTCATGGGATTCGAAAATTTGGGGAAGTGCGTGAGGCGGAGAGGGCCGCAGTAAATGGGACGGATAGACTGGGGCACCTCGATTTCTGTGCCACCTTTTTCGCCACGTATCCGGTGCGCGACTATTGCGGGATTTGACAGGATCGCTCGGGCCCATGCGTCAGCCACTCGGAAGCGGGCCCATAAAAGGCGCCGAGGCCGACGCATTTGCGTAGTGTGCCCCTGCTTCACCATTACTCTCCCAACACCATCACATACCTTGTTGCATTCGTTTCTCTGTGCGAAAACTTCTTGGGCTGTAGACCGCACTGGGGTCTCTTCAAACATATCTTCACTTGTCGTTCTCAGTCGGTGAAGAAGGCACATCCGACTGAAGAGAGGATGCACGTGATTCAGATGTGCGGGGGTTTAGGGATTCAGATGAGGAAGAGGATCACTTTTCCCCCTATGACACTTCCTGAGTCGGTTAGAGGGTGGCAGTCGACCTGGTTCTACTGCCAAGACATTCCGACACCCGGTCAGTCGACCGGTCTTCCTCCCTTTACCCTAGGTCGAGTCCAGCAACCTTCTTCACTGATCGTGTCTGCAGCAAAGAAAGTAGAGACGAACATGCTAGTCGAGCGGGTAGTCCAGTTGGTCCGTCAGGGCGTGACTGGCATGGATTTATTGGAAGTATTTCTTGGTCGACGCATCCAGCCGCTCCAAGCCCGTGATCACTCAATGTGGATGTATTCGGGCTCCAATGAAACTGTACCGCTCGGGTCAACCCAGAGGAGGTCACCGATGAGACGATGGCCCAGTGGCTGAAGGGTATTACTGGAAACAAAGACAACCCCGGGGGGGCCAGGAGAGTCAATCCATTCGACGGCGAAAACCGGTCAGACAAGGTCTGGTCCTTATTACCGAGTGTATTTCATTCTGACTTGCGACCGTCTTTGAATC